ATTTGACATAAACAATATTATTTAATCTTAATTAAGGTACTCACCATTAACTCTTCCTTTTGATCTTGTTGATGTTTGAATGAACTGTTGCCTTTGCACTGTTGAACAAATTGACAATTTGGAAACCAATGCGCATGCTCAATCCAAGGATCATCTCCTCGCTTCCACTCTGCCAGTTTCCCGCCGCAGAAGAAACAGCACACTGTGTCATTTGTTCCTATTTAAAAAAATCACACACAATTCTGGTTTAATTGAAAAACAAAAAGTAAGAGTTAATCTTATTTCGGTCAGACATAACTATAAAGCATAACCGTTAGAACTAGTAACTCTCATTTGCATCACTTACTTGTCTAAATTATAAAAGAAAACTCTTTTCTAACTGCATTTCTTCAAATCATCAAAGCTGGAAAAGAATCTTCTCTTCATCTAATTTTTGTTTTTTATCAATTAACTGAAAAATAGCAACATACTTTTTTCACAGTTGTTAAAAAAAAGACACGATTCTTACCATTGTCGTTAAAGCCTGCTTTAGACAGGTCGTTGGGACTAACAATGCCTGATATGGGCGAATTCTTGAAAGATGCCATTCTCGTGGCCAAGGTGGAATATTTCGGATATTTGGGTTTTTCAACGCAGATTCCAAGGTCCTTGAATACTTCCTTGGCCTTTTGGGCCGACTTCCACCTGGTACGTGATCAGAAACTGGTTGAAATGAAATCTGTAACGTAGATGTAGATGCGTAGTTTGAGGAGCTGGTATTGTTTTGATAGTTGTTCTCGGATACAACAAGTTGGTTTTCTGTTCCAGAAGATTGCACTTCTTCATCGATGGACTCAGGCATAAACTTAAAGAAGAGCAAACAAAAATGCATTGGCTAACGGTTTATAGTGAACAAAGCAGGTACAACAATAAAAGTTTAATTAATAACAATTTATCGTATCGACAGACATGTATTGATTTTACAGACTGACTTTGCTGAATATACTGACTATATAGACAAAATTTAAATAATTTATTACATCAAGTGTTTTATTTGTATTTTATATAAACTATTTTATCTTTAGAAAACAAAACAAAAACATAAAGAAAATAATAATAATAATAAAAAAAAAAACCCAAATGTTATTATTTACCAATAAGTATATTGATGGTTTGAAAAAAAAAATACAATTGATGAAATAAATATATATATATATATATATATATATTCATATTTTTCTGATGGTAAGCAATTTTAAAGTAAAAATGAACAAGGACAAAAATCATAATTCATTTTTTCCTAGAGCTAAATTTGAAAACGACAAAAAGACTCAAGAATCAGAGGTTGAAAACTTGCGTTTTGAAGTAAAGATTTTGAAAACCGAGAACGAGAAATTAGAAGAAAATACATGTAAAAGGCAAAGGCAAGTTTATGTATCTAAAATATTCAATTAAACGACATTTAATGTGGTAATAATTTACAAAGTACAAGCCAGTAATTAGAAATACGATATAATAGCTTACAGGAAAAAGAAAAACTTTCAGTGATGCATTCAAATGAACTTAAGTTGAAGGAGGAAGAAATAAAAACAATGAAGAAAGATATGGAAAAGACGAAGCTGGAAGTTCAATCTTTATACGCAAAGTACGTCAAAAAATAATTAATTACCTTTTATCATACCAGTATCCCTATTTTTAAAATAAGATTGTAAGTGACAGACGCATCAACAAATTGTTTTAGCAAATGTAAAATATTTATAAACATTAATTATCATCATTCAATAATCAATTTCCTTGTTTAATACAGAAATAGAGAATATGAAAAGAATTTTAAAAACACCAACCAAGACTCTGAAATCCTACGCTTGAAATATCAAGTAGATGATATGAAAGAAGAAATTCACGCCTTGAAAAAGCAAGCAGACAATTTGAGATTAGAAAAAATCCAAATTTAGAGGTAATAAAAAAGCGAAAAACTTTTGAACAAATAGACCCCACGTCCTATGATATGCGCGTACTTAATTTATGTTTTCTCTTTTTTCCATAAAGAAAATTTGAATTTGACCTAAAGAGAGAAGATTCCAGAACAGCATCTGAAATAAACCGACTGAGGCAAGTAATTTTGCAGCTAGAAAATCGGAAATATGGAACTCATATAGCGTCCTTATCATGGAAAAAAGGAGCTGCATTGCAAAGGTAGATCTTAGACAATAAGCTTCTCATATTGAATTTTTAGAGCAGTAAATTATTCATATAGCTTGCTTTGTACGTATTTCTTTATTTTTATCTATTTTATTTTAAAAGTTTGATTGATAATTTTCTAGTGACGTGTCATTTTTAGCCCAACTGATCCGAAGGATCAAGTGAGCTTTTCTGATCAGCGTCGTTGTCGTTGTCTTAAACTTTGCACATTTTCATCTTTTTCTCAAGAACCACTGGGGCAATTTCAACCAAACATGCTACAGGTTATCCTTGGATGAGGGGAATTCAAGTTCTTTGTTTGAATGAAGGGCCATGCCTTTTTTTAAGGGGAGATAATTGTGAAGTAATGAAAAATTAATAGCATCTTCTCCTCAAGAACGACTGTACAAGGAAAGATAAAACTCATGTGAAAGTATCCCCAGGTAGTATAGATTCTATATTGTTCAAATTGTGACCCTTGGAGGTAGGGTCGTAATTTACCCAGAAACACATAAGAAATATCTATAAAAATTTTCTCAAGAACAGTAAAGCCATTATTTGTCAGATTTGTATGGAAGCATCCACAGGTGTTGAAAATTCAAATTTGTTCAAATCATGACCCCCTTGGAAGGTTGGGGCCACAGTGGACAAAGTTTTTACATACTATAGTAGGAATATGTAGGAAAAAAATCTTCAAAAATCTTTTTTTTCAAGAACAGCATATCCATTATTAACATGTATATGGACGCATCTGCAGGTGGTGTACATTCAAGTTTAAGTTTGTTCAAATCATGACCTCCAGGGGTAGGATGAGCCACAAAGGACGGTTAAAGTTTTACATAAAAATGTATAAGGAAATCTTTAAAAATCTTCTCAAGAACAGCAAAGCTATGATTGGTAATATTTAAAAACATCCTAGGGTGGTGTTAGATTCATGTTTCTTCAAATCATGACGCCCGCATGTAAGATAGGGCCTCAATGGTCGATCACAGTTTTATATAGGAATATATAGGAGAAAACTTCAAAGCTAGGATTGGTCATATTATATGAAAGCATCTTCAGTTGGTGTGGATTCAATACTGTTCAAATCATGACCCCCTGGGTAGGGTGGCGCCACAATGGACGATCAAAGTTTTTTTTTGGAATATACTGTAGAAGCACAAATTTTCGTGGGGATAAAATTTCGTTGATATGTCATCAAAAATAGTTTCGTGGGCATTAAATTTCGTTGTTTTGAGAGTAGGCTTATTCAATATATAGTCATATAAAATTTCGTGTGGGATTTAATTTCGTTGAAAATTGTTAACAACGAAATAAACGAAATTTAATCCCCCACGAATATTTGTGCTTTTACAGTATATGGGAAAAAAATCAAATTCTTCTTCTTTAGAACAACAAATATATGATTGGAAATATTATATGGAAGCATCTTAGGTGGAGTAGATTCAATTTGGTTCAAACCATGGCCCGGGGGTAGGATGGGGACACCATGGACGATGAAAGAGAAATATATAGGAAAAATCTTTCAAAATCTTATTCTCAATTACAGCAAAGTTATGATTAGTTTATTTATGGAAGCATCCTCAGGTGCTGTACATTCAAAGTTTGTTCAAATCATGTTTGATTTAAAGATAGACTTTGCTAAAGATGCGTTTGCTGTAGTCGTGATGATATGAATTCATAACGAATGGCTGTATTCTGCATAAATTTCTAAGAAACTTACTTAAATCCATAAATCAGTAAACTGAATATATTTTATGAAAGTTAATGCATATTTCATTTTATTTGGCAGCTTTTCTATCTAATAAAGTTTCATAAAGAAAATGTAAATTTCCTAAAAATCAGGATATCTACAGATACAAATACACGGGGGGAAGGGCAACTTTTTTTACCCTAACAACAAAACAGAGTGTTGTACATACATGTATGTTTACAAATTATATGACATTGAGAAGACAAATTTTAACAGATCAATATTTAATTCAAAATAACAGAGAATATGAAAAACTAAAACTGGCTGATCAAGATTCTCCTGAAATGCAATACTTGAAAGAGCAAGTTTGCAATCTGAAGAAAGAAGTGAATATGTTAGAAAAAGAGGCAAAAAGATTACATGAAGAAAAACCCAAGACCAGCGGTAAAAGAAAATGATGGTTTTTAATATTTTTAAAATTCGTATTGTAATTTTTTTCTTCAATTTCTTTACATTGTCTCATTGGTTTTTTTTTTGTTTTTTTGTTTTTTTGTTTGTTTGTTTGTTTGTTTTTTTTTTTTAGAAAAGGCGAACCCGATCTGAAAGAAAGGGACTCTGAATTAAGCCGGCTGAAGCAAGTTATTTTGCAACTAGAGAATGAAAATATAAAACACAAATCACACATATCTGCCATATCAGAGGCGAAAGAAAATGCATTACACAGGTATTCTTGTAACAAGAAAATTAAAAAAGAAGAAATTTCCAGACATAATAACTATTCATCATTTATTAAAATAATACACCTCGAATACCATCTTATCTATTACAAATATTGAATATCTAATTTGCGTCTCTCTTTATAAAAACTGGTGTCCTCTACAAAAATAAGAATTTTTCAACTAAAATTTGCACATGACATTATTGTCATACACTTTTCATTGAAAATTTTTGATTTTTGTACAGGACACAGGGAACATAATCAGAAGGAAATAATTCTAAACTCCTTCATTGAAACAGTTTTTTTTTTCAAATTATGAAATAAGCATACAATCTTATAAGAGACAGCAGTAAATTGACCCGTGAATTTTATAAAGAATACGAGATACCATATGCTTTGTTTTATAGTTAGAAATGAAGAATAAAAGTTATTCTCATAAATACTTTCTCGATGAAATAGATAAAAAAAGATAAATGTACTTAATTAGATATAGTCATTTAGAAATTTTCTGGTATGAACATTAATTGAAGTATAAACTTAATGGATTTATCCCTAAGATAATATCTAGTCAGACTTATAAGATAATCCACACACTGTATTAGCAAAATGAAAACAATCCGATGTTCCACTTTTGAATTCTATAAAATAAGATTTATGTAATGTGTATATCGTATTGTACTTTCAAGATAAAACATAAATGTGATATATTGTCAAAAATTAAAATTTAAAAATATTAAAATCAGAAACATCTTCTAAGAAGCAGTATTTTCCCCCCTTTCGTTAGGCAAAGTCAAGCTGAACTAAACACAAAAACATTAACGGAGGAAATGCAGCATATGAGAGAAAGATTATTAAAGCAGGAAGATGACAACTATCGACTTCAAAAGGAACTCTCTGAAGTTTGTAAAGAAAAAGACAATGCTTTGACTAGGTATAATTTATTAGTGTATGTGTTTTACGATAATCTACTCATGGAATTATTGAAAGAGATATTCTTTAAAGATTTTTAAATATATTCTTCGTATTGAATTAAGGTTAAGCAAAGTAGCCAAGCTTACTCAAGGCAATACATCGATAACTGACCTAAAAAGTAGTGACACCAATCGTCCAACAAAAATAGCAGAAAAATTTTCCGAGTTGTACGACAACCAGTGGACGGATGCTTTTGAGGAACTTGGCAAGTCTTTCAACAATGAAGAGGAAACAATACAAGTCCTACTGACCATATTACAGGTATTAACTCCTCAGTAAATTTCCTCATATCTTAGGTATGCTTTAATTATCATTATTGTCGCAAACTACAGTTTGTTGGTTAGAATTCAGAAAGATGTTTGAGATATTTTCCTTTTCATTAGTTTCCTAGTTGTGTCAATTATCAAACAAAAAGCCCGTGTATTAAGATGTAGTGATTTGATAATTTGCATAACTTTTAATGGTATATATTATAAATTATCACAATTGCTTACTTTGTGACGCAGAATATTGCGATTCTTACACTTTGTCTTCATCTCTATTTGCGTCTCCATATGAGTGAAAAATTCTCGAGAGGGACGTTAAACAACACAATCAATCGATCATCTCTATTTTATATTTTAGGAGGCATATACGTTTTGCTTACAAGCAGAGAATAATTATGAAACCAGGATCGGCGAAGCAGTCTTAACTCTGACAGATATAGATACGAAAGAGGTTAATTCAGCAAACAAGAGACTCTGTTGCATAAAGTTTTTTCTATGATTTCAATAAGTATCATGTTAAATTTTAATTTTCCCTTTATTACAGACACGTCGGATCAATGGTACAAAGAGTTCTATACAGAAAGTACTCACAGATTTAAGGCTATCGATGAGCAATGCTTGTTCTTCGGTTATTGGGAAGGTAAAACAAAATAAATGCTTTTTTGTTTTGCCTAAATTAATTTCTACATTAACTAATATACTTTAAAACTACTATTTTTAGATGTTTCTTGCGAAACTTCCATCCATTTTGAAGAATGTAGACGTATCAAGATTACCCAAAACAAAGTTGTATGCAAGCCAGTGTGCAAGTCTCTGTTGGAGAATGAGAGTCCGGGGTCCTCCCGTGTTTGTCCGCTTTGAATTCAGTAAAGGAACAACATTTAACACAGATATTCTGAGAAGATATACCAAAACGGGAGACTACTTGGATTTCATTGTGTGGCCTGCATTGTATTTGCACGAGAATGGTCCTGTATTATCTAAAGGTGTGGCACAACTCAAACATTGTCCATGATTTGTACTTAATTATTACGATATACAAATTTATAATTGTTTTGCAGTCTTTTTTAATGTTTGATGTTGTTTTTTTTTTTTTTGCTTATGTGTCATATTAAAACGTTTGCTGATATAACCTTGACAGAACAAATGTATATTATTTTTCAAATGCAAATAAGATTAAATTGTGAATGAGATATAATAATTATATTTTCTTTCCGTTGCTTATGTGAACTAAAAGATGCAGAAATTGCATCTAATGAACATTCAATTAACAAACTGTTATAAAGTTCACGATCAAATATATCCAAACAATACAAGTCATGAGCAGAGCAAACACGCACCTCTGAACCTGTTAGAGGTGGAATCAGGAATAAACGGTTAGACACGACGTGTCCCCCTTGTCATGATCGGGCAAACGGATTAATCCGTAGACAGTGTCCAAATAATGACCTAAAAAATATTATAAAAAAAATCAAAATATTGATGCCTTTGAACTCTTAAAATACCTAAAAGAAAATGAAGGAAATGAACAACTATTTTATTGACTGAATTTGTAAAACTCTTACACTCTTCTCCTCATGCTAAGCTTACAGCATTTCCAAGATACAAATAACCTTCAATTGTTTGTTCTTCTTCAGACATACGATTAGTGTCAAATACTGTTTTGAATAAAAATTTGAATGATACTCAGTTACAGTTCTTTATGAAACAACTCTACCCCAGGAGAGACCATGACTTGAATAATTTCCAATGCACACTACCTAAAAATCCTTTCACCAACGTTTTAACTTTTCTGGTTTTTGAGACTCTTGAGAAGTTTTTGGAAAAAAATCCGATTTATTTCAATGCAAATGTAGTCCCACCTATCCCCATCCCATCCTGGGGGCATGCTTTGAACAATTTAGAATCTTCACTACCTTTGAAAGCTTTCAGAAAAGTTTCCGCATTTCTGGCTAAGTGGTTCTTCAAATTTTGTTATAACCCACCATTATTTTACCTTTTCTTCTCAATATGGATGGACATTTGCCATTCCTTATAACATTTAGAATCCTTATTTCTCTAGGGATGCGTTGTGCCAAACTTTTATGGAAACCCGGTTACTTTTTTTTGGTTGAGAATTTGAAAATGTGAAAAGTTCATAGAAGGAGAACCAGACGGGCAGGGCCCAAGCAAATAAATCCCTTTCAAACAGCATAATACAGAAGACTAGTCAAACGTTTATATTATTGACAACTGCTTTTTTCAATAAAATGGAACTCGTAAATTAATTCATACCTGGTAACCGGTTATTTGCAAAATTATTTTGTTAAAACACATTCTGATTGCACACACACGTACTCGGAAGTCGACATCAAAAAGATGCTTGAGTTTATGATTGACAATATCTATGTGGTTTTTGGAGACTAGGCCTTTCAACAATCTATTGGAATTCCTATATGGGTACAATTGCACTCCATTATTAGCAGACCTATTTTTGTATTCATATGAAGCAGAATTTATGCAAAATCTTATTTGTGAAAAGAAAAAAACACTTGTTGTGGCCTTTAACTCGTCATTCAGATTTATCGATGACGTATTATGAATTAACAATGGTCATTTCCATTCCTGTGTCGATACGATATATCCTGGTGAGTTTGAAATAAAAGATACCACAGAGTCTGACAGAGTCTGTTTCCTACTTGGATATTCTGCTTGAAAAAGACGTTAAAGGTAGTCTAACAACCAAGCTCTATGATAAACATGAAGACTTTAACTTTTCTATCGTCAGCTTACATTACTTATGCAACAATGTACCTTCATCACCTGCATAAGGAGTTGATATCTCTCAGTTGATTCAATAATCAATAACATGCGCTATGTATGAACAATTTCTAAACTGAGGTATATTATTGACAATCAATTTGATGAAACAAGAATATCAGCAGTCTTGTTTTTTAAAGTGATAATTTCGTAAGTTCTATGGACGATACAATGACCTTGTCAGCGAATACAATTTATCATTCAGTCAACTGCTGACTGACGTTTTTCATACTAATTGTTAGTCCATTATTTATAAACTAATTGACAACGGATTTTCCATTTTTTCCCGATAATAACAAGGAGCACACGGCGGGTGTGACCGATCGGCAAGGGATGTCCACTCCTCCATGGCACCTGATCCAACCTCTGATGTTTTGGAGGTCCGTATTTTATCTGCTCCTTCTGCTCCGGTTTGTATTGTTTTATGGACTTTAATTTGATATTGAATACTGTCCGTTATCTCCATATCCTTCATAATGAAAATATTTCAACAAAAGTGGGATACTGTGCATAACTATTTAAAAACAAGATGCGTTTGTGAAACACTATGCGCCCGGCGGCAACAAAGTTCCCAAAACTATTTTTAGCATATAAGTCACAGTCAAGGTCACAAGGTCATTTGAAAGAACTTAATAGTTGGACTATGCATACAAAATATGAAGTTTCCATCTCCTATGGTTCAAAAGTTATGGCGAAAGTATGAAAAAGCATATAAAAGCATTTTTAGCATATAGTTTACAGTCAAGGTCATTGACCTTGGTGTCATTTGAAAGAACTTTATTAGTGGAGTATGCATAATAAATATGAAGATTCTATTTCCTATGGTTCAAAAGTTATGGCTATTTTTAGCATATAGGTCACTGTCACAAGGTCATTGACATTGTGTCATTTGAATGAGTTTAATTAGTGAAGTATGCACGTTAAATATGAAGTCTCTATCTCCTATGGTTCGAAAGTTATGGCAAAAGTTCGAAAAAGCTATTTTTAGCATGTAGATCACAGTCAAGGTCACAAGGTCATTGACCTTGATGTTTTTGAAAGAACTTTTTTGTGAAGTTTGCATACCAAACAGCAAGTATCTATCTCTAAAGGTTCAAAAGTTATCGCGAAGGTTAAAGTTGACAACAGACAGGACAAAAACAATATAGGCCTCGGATCTATCAATCCGGGCGCATAAAAAGAAAACTTTCATGAAGTATGCATACCAAACAGCAAGTCTCTGTCTCTCAAGGTGTAAAAGTTATGGCGAAGTTTAAAGTTGACAACAGACAGACAAACAGATAAACAGACAGGTAAAAAAACAATATACGCCTCGGATCTATATTTCCGGGCGCATAAAAACTTATTTTAACGTAATACTAAAGTAACAAAAATATATTTTCTTTCTAGTTTATGTAAAATAAAAAAATAATAAGTAAAACAATAATAACAACAAATTTAATAGCGCAATAGAAATAAAACAATAAAAAATAAAAATGTAATTTTAATTAAAAATAATTGCAATTTATACAGTAAAGTTTTATTTGGAATTCATCATTAAAAACATTATAGTATATATTTTATGTCAAAGAAACCTTAAACGGTTTCTTTCCAAATATTGTTTAATACAGTAACTACGCTCTCATACAGCATATATTTATTGCACAAAATAAAGTCTAAACAATTTCAAAAGTAGGAAAATAAATGATAATTTTAATATTAATATGTAAATACAAATAAAGCATTATCAATAATTTAGTATCCATATATTCACAGAATAAAAAAGATACTTAATATGAATATGTTAAAAATTATAAAATTATGCTGGATTCTTTTTGGCACATATAAGCTACTACTAGTATTCATTTCAGATATTTTTGTGGTGCTTAGCTTTTTTCTTTAGCTTAAAATAGCTTTCACGGTTCCTTTAACAAACGTTCTACAAATCGGACACTTGCGCATGGCTGGTGAACAGCTTACACAGGTACACATGTGACCACAGGGCAAGAAAACAACGGTGGCATCTTCCTCCAAACAAATTTTACATCTGGTTTGTTCTTTCAATTCTTGATATTCTGAAACAAGTGCTTTCAGTTCTAAAAATATAATTTTAAAAAGAGATTGACAATGACTGATTTCTATGAGCAATTTTCAATCAAATGTATGATTTAATTTTATCTATATATAATTATATATTTTTAGAGATATATGTATAAATACCTTGTTTGTTTGATTCGCCAGATTCCTCCTGCTTTTTTGGCTGTTTTTCTTGCTGTATTTTTTCTTCCTTTTGGTTCCCTCCTTCCTCTTTCACATGATCTTTCTTTGAACACTTACGTCTTGCTTGTTTGTGCTTTTCTGATTCCTGATCCTCTGCATCCATTAATAACTCTAACAATTCTTTTGCAGACAGGTTCACTGCAACGAAAAAATAATCTCTGAAAAAAACACCACGATTTACTTTAACTGGTTTTTGAAATCTTACTACAAATGCAAAACTTAAGTTGTTTTTTTTTCAATTTTATGATTTTTTTTCCATAATACTTTAACCGAGATGGATAATGTCATTTTTTACCTTTGTTCTCTGTATTGTCATAAACTGTCTTGATCTGAGCTTTGGTGTATCCCATCTCCATCACACTTTTAAATGCAGCTGACTCAAATGGATCTTCAGGTTGCTGTTTAGTGAAAACAGACATATTTACAAATGAGAAAAATGATAGTAATAAAAATTCTTTCGAAGGAAATATATATTCTTCACATAATCTGCTGTATGGATGTTTATACCCGAAGTGTTTCTTACTGATTCCAATATTTCTGTATTAAGCCTGTATGAATTTTAATCTATAAAACGTGTATTATCTTTGTCAAATATGAAGATTATGCATTGTGAATGTTCATTTGACATAAACAACACATAATTTAACATTGTTTAATCTTAATTAAGGTAGTCACCATTAACTCTTCTTTTTGATCTTGTTTATGTTTGAATGAACTGTTGCCTTTGCACTGTTGAACAAATTGACAGTTGGGAAACCAATGCGCATGCTCAATCCAAGGATCATCTCCTCGTTTCCACTCTGCCAGTTTCCCGCCGCAAAAGAAACAGCACACGGTGTCATTTGCTCCTATTAAAAATAATCAGGTTTAATTAAAAAACAAAAAGTAAAAGTTAACCTTATTTTGGTCAGACATAACTATAAAGCATAACCGTTAGAACTAGTAACTCTCATTTGCAGCACTTACTTGTCTAAATTATAAAAGAAAACTCTTTTTTAACTGCATTTCTTCAAATCATCAAAGCTGGAAAAGAATCTTCTCTTCATCTAATTTTTGTTTTTTATCAATTAATTGAAAAATAGCAACATACTTTTTTCACAATTGTAGTTAAAAAAAGACACGATTCTTACCATTGTAGTAAAAACCTGCTTTAGACAGGTCGTTGGGACTAACAATGCCTGATATGGGCCAATTCTTGAAAGATGCCATTCTCGTGGCCAAGATGGAATATTTCGGATATTTGGGCTTTTCAACGCAGATTCCAAGGTCCTTGAATACTTCCTTGGCCTTTTTGGGCCGACTCCCAAACGGTACGTGATCAGAAACTGGTTGAAATGAAATCTGTGACGTAGATGTAGATGCGTAGTTTGAGGCGCTGGTATTGTTTTGATAGTTATTCTCGGATACAACAGATTGGTTTTCTGTTCCAGAAGATTGTACTTCTTCCTCTGTTAGTGTTTGACTGGAGTTCTCACTTTGAGAAACATTTTTCCTTTCTTGTCCTTTTTGGTAGGAGATTGATTGATGAATGTCTGATGGCCCACCGCAAGCTCCTTCAGTATTTAAAAAACTCTCTGCTCTGGCTTCGCTTGAAGCTACATGACTAGCATCATAATGCTTTTGAACGAAATCGCAGTTCGGTGAATTCTTGAAGTGTATTTCCATGGGGTCGTCGTTTGATTGAATATTTTCGTAAACATAACCACATTTAAAGCAGATAATGGCTTTTGAAGCAGTATCGTAGTAAAATCCAGCTTTAGATAGTTTCATAAAAGCAATTGGACAGTCCTTCAAAGAGCTAAAAGTCGAGTATCTAATGATTTCAAACTTCATCTTCTCGGACACATCCATGTCTGGATTTTTAGCACATTCCTCATAATATTTCGGAAGTTCAGTGCTAGGGCACTCAATCGATGAGTTTGATTGGTCGCTGTTACACATTTTTGCAGTCCCTGTATCAAAAACAATAAAATCATTAGGTTTGCTTATTGACTATATTCAAATCGTTATTATTGTTGTTGTTTTTCAGAAGCTGCTTTAAGATATCCATTAATTTTATGTTTAGATGACGTTTGTCCTATTCGTATTTTTGTTTTCAATTTTCAGAGTTATGTCGAAATCTTTAAAAAACGAATTGATTAGCACTTAATTCAGTCACTTGAATGTCTTTGTATTCGTTATTTCCCGCTACACGATTTTCTCGAGAATTGCATGTAAACAAGTATTTCAAAATATATTTACGTTATGGAATGCAGGAAGCGGACTGTAGCGGCTCTCTTCTCCTAATAATTAGAATTGAAAAGAATCGGTGCTTATATATGTAACATATTTTCATCTGGAAAGTTCCGGATATGTTTGGAAAAGTACCAGTTATAAACAACTAGGTCACACACTTCTCAAGGTCATAGTCATGTGCGTAAATTATGCGCAATTGACTTATCGAATGTAAACAACAACAAAAAGGGAAAAAACTTATATAAGCAGACAGTAAATAAATGATTACATGCTGTCATTCAAAAAAGTTGTATTTTCATTTGAAAAAATGATAGAACCTTGAAGGAATAGATATTTATTTGTAATATATACTACCCTTTGTTTCATTGCCTTATCGCTAGGACTAAATTCAGATAAAATATCTAAACTGCAAGCTTAGCAAGTATGTCCCCTAAAGGTAAGAGACCGTGAGCAAAGTATACATCCGCTGTAAAAACTGGAAAGGGGGATCATAGTTTAATTGTTATTATCGCAGATAATTTTATCAACTGAAAATTAATTCTCGGGAAAATAAAACCATGTATCGCGTGGTGCATGAAAATATAGTACTAAATGGCCATAAAATTGATCAGTTTATCTCATTTTAAATAGAACAACTTCGTGTTTTGAACTAGTACATAATTATATAGATTAAATATTCTCTATTTTTTACATTAATCAGAGTAACAAAAAAAATGCAGCTTTTACCTCACCCCATGACTATAATATGTAAATTTGCACAATTTTTTCAGCAATTTAGAATATATTTTTTTCAAAAAATAAATTTATTTTAAATCAGATGTTACAAAAGAGTCATTTGACAGAGAAAATTTCATCTTTACGTTCCTTTGTAATCTTTCCTTGATTCATGTATTTATTTTTTGCCAATATGCATTAACAAATAAAATTATAAATTGAAAGACTGTGCATTTTCACTATAAAGCCTTGAGACCTATTGTTGACATAAAATAAAATTTTGGAAGAGGCATATTTTTGTATCATAATATGTATCAAAAGCTTAGTTTATTTAATATCCCAAAAGCAGAGAACGATTTTAATTTCTTATGCATTTAGTGCTATACTGATATATAAATTAGAAGTTGACCCTGGGGCCATAAAACAATTTTGGAAGAATCTTTCTTATCATAAATTGTACTTGTTATTTTATTTAATACCCAGAAGCAAGAAGAAGATTAAAAAGAATTAATGCATTTTCAGCGTCAATAAATGTTGAATAACACCAGAATCCCTGACCCTGGGGCCATAAAATTCAAAATTTTGAAAGTGGCACTCTTGCTCATTAACATTGAAAGGATCCAGTTTAAATACCCAAGTAAAGTGAAGATGTCAAAAGCAAATAAATGCATTTTCACTAATGCTCAGTAACTATTGAAGTAAATCCATTTCTTAACACCAGAAACCATGACCCTGGGGCCATAAAATTCACAATTTTGGAAGAGGCACTCTTTCTCATCATAACTATGTACTTACTTAGTTTATTTAATACCCAGAATCTTTGAAGAAGATTTTGAAAAACATTAATGCATTTTTTTTTTACTCATTTTTCATTTTTGTTTTAATTTCATCTCTACCTGATCATTATAAACTTTGAAAGCATCTTTTATAATACACATTTTTGTAAACAAATCCTTACGTATAATTCTCTTATTCGGTTTATTATTCAATTACACGATTAAATTTTAGTGATTATCGAAATAATGCAAATTTTCACATATAATACAATATAGCCTGCGTACAAGATTGCTACCCCTAACTGGGGCCATAAATTTCATAATTTTGTGAAAATGCTCATAACCAGTAAGTGTTATCCGATATCTTCCTAAAGCTGAAAAGATTTTCAAAATAATAAGGCATTTTCACTATTGTCACCTTAAATCTAGAACCCCTAACTCGGGGCTATGAACTTAGAAATTTAATTTTAAAGAGGCACACTTGCAAATCATATATATATACTGTATAAAATTTGGTTGAAGGTTCAGTGTTTCAGTAAAAAGTTTTTTGTTCAAATGTTAACACACGCAAGTCTTTATAACTTATTTTAACTTGAAGTTTATTTGTTTGTAAAATAACCCGAAGCAGAACCTTATATATCCAAGCTAATGAATTTTAAACGGTTTAAAGGAATATAACACTGAATATTTGTTGATCCTAAAATGATAACATTATGATCAAAGGTTAAGGGACTCCGACCTCAGCCAGGTAGGACAACTCTTTAATTTATAATTTAATTCAAAAAGTCTTTAAATGAAGCTTGAAAATTAAATCTTTTCATGCAACAATTTTCATTATATGCCTCTCAATGTGCTTCAAGGTTCTTTGCAAAGCTCCATAAATCACTTCTAATTTCATATCATGTTAATAAACATTGGTATCTAAAAATGCTTTTTCGGGATAAAATTTCTACTTTTAACTAGACCTTTCTGAGAAGTTCAAAGAACCTTGAAGCACATTGAGAAGCATATAATGAAAATTGTTGCATGAAAAGATTCAATTTTCAAGCTTCATTTAAAGACTTTTTGAATTAAATTATAAATTTAAGAGTTGTCCTTCCTGGCTGAGGGTCGGAGTCCCTTAAACATTGGTCGACATTGGCTGACATTTGGTTATAGCAATTTGATAATTTAGCATTTACTCTTGACCATATATAAAAGCACATATTCATAATTATCATGATTACAACTAGCTTCTAAACTATTAAAAGGTTATGAAACATTTCCAAAATGTTTCAACTATTGTTTAAAGAAAATACTTACAGTTTATCATTTGAAGTCTTTTTATAAACGTTTTAATCAGTTTAACTTATATTTTCAGCAAACTTGATCAGAAAAAGTATGATTTAATTATGAAGTGTTAATGCTTAAAAGCTCTGACTATAATGTAAAATTACACAATTGTTTTTAACAATGTGGAATTGCACCTATAATTTAATTTTTAAAAATAACTCCTTTCTCTCAATCGAAAGATACCAATACTGTCATTTGACAGGGAAAATACCATCTCAAATGCGCTAAAAAATACAGGAATAGTAAGGAATAAAACAGAGTCATACGCAAAGTCGTCCACTTTGATTTAGTGAAAATAATTTTATTTTTTTCTCTATCAAAATTTATATAAATAATTATTCTTGAAGAAAAATGTTACGCTTATGTCGGTATATTCATAAGAAAAACTTTGAATCTTCAAGGTCGACATGCAGATCAAGCATGTTGCAGTCGTGGCAACAAGACTCGCTGCTATTGATGGAACCTATGGTCAACTGTTATGATTTCATTTGCCAATGCACATTATCAAAACATATACAAATGTAAATACATGAATCAAGGATGTACATTTAATTTCCTGAATTTTAAAGTAATGATAAACCATCATGAAGAGAAGTGAGTAATCAAGCTTAAAAGTCCATTAGAGCAATACAAATTGAAAACAGGACAAATGGAAACGTCACATAAAGTAAGAATCAGGTGCCACGGAGAAGAAAGCATCCTCTGTCACTCCCGCCATGTGTTTCATGACGGGGCAAACAGAAAACTTGAACTTCAAGTTGAAGGCTGTTATGGGTGAAAATAATGGCCTAACAATTTGCTAGAAAAAATTTAACTAAATATTGAACTTATTAAAATTAACAGTAGATTATGTTTGCAAACAAAATCATTGATTAGTAAAATGTTGATATATAAATGGTCTGTTGATATTTTTTGTCAATTTCTTGTGGATAGCTTGCCTTATTTTAGAAACTGTTCGTATGTAGAGCATGTTCTTGTGTATCGAATCAAATGGAGAAGATAATTCAACTTCATATGCAGGAGATGGTAATTACTAGTACATGTATTATTGGTATATTATTACATAAATAAGGGAAGTTGAAGACAGAGAAACTGAAATAATCACATTTATCTTATCGTAAAATGGTGTTATGTTGCTAATAACGTCCATTTAAAACATGATGTCAGACTCTGTGGTGTCCTTCATTTCGAGTTCAAAGGGATATATATCGAATCTATATCGAAAACAAGAGGCCCATGGGCCACATCGCTCACCTGAGAAGCTTTGACCATTCTGTTCTTTACCAGATTTCCCCCTTGTAATACATAATGCATCCCCACCCTACCCCACTGATCATAATTTAGACATTTTGAAATCTACACTACCCCAGGATCCTTCCATGTGCACCTAAGTTTCAGCTTTTCTGGCCCAGTGGTTCTTGAGAAGAAGATTTTCAAAGATTTTTCCTATATATTTCTATGTAAAACTTTGATTCTCCATTGTGGCCCAGCCCTCCCCCCGGGGGTCATGATTTGAACAATTTAGAATCTACATTCCCCCAGGATGCTTCCACATAAGTTTCAGCTTTTCTGGCCCAGTGGTTCTTGAGAAGATTTTCAAAGATTTTTCCTATATATTTGTATGTAAAACTTTGATTCTCCATTGTGGCCCCGCCCTTCACCCGGGGGTCATGATTTGAACAATTTAGAATCTACATTCCCCCAGGATGCTTCCATATAAGTTTCAGCTTTTTTTGGCCCAGTGGTTCTTGAGAAGAAGATTTTCAAAGATTTTTCCTATATATTTCTATGTAAAACTTTGATTCTCCATTGTGGCCCAGCCCTCCCCCCGGGGGTCATGATTTGAACAATTTAGAATCTACATTCCCCCAGGATGCTTCCACATAAGTTTCAGCTTTTCTGGCCCAGTGGTTCTTGAGAAGAAGATTTTTCAAAGATTTTTCCTATATATTTGTATGTAAAACTTTGATTCCCCATTGTGGCCCCGCCCTTCCCCCGGGGGTCATGATTTGAACAATTTAGAATGTACACTACCCCAGGATGCTTCCACATAAGTTTCAGCTTTTTTTGGCCCA